TATCTTGGCCTGCAGATCTCTAGGAACAGAGCAGCATGCACCATCACTCTGACACAGTCACACTTGGTGCGTCAGGTCCTTCAAAGGTTCGGTCTTCAGTTCTCCTCCGTTCAGCCCACACCTCTACCTGTAGACCATGGGCTCTCCGCTCCCGTTCCTGGGGAGCCAGTAGAGCCCAGTGGCCCCTACGCAGAGCTGGTGGGTTGCCTCATGTACCTGATGACTTGCACTCGCCCAGATCTCGCATACCCTCTCAGCATCCTGGCTCGCTTTGTGGCTATAGGCAGACACCGACCTCAGCACTGGTCTGCCGCTAAGAGGGTTTTGCGTTATCTTGCTAGTACATCGGGCATGGGGTAAGTGCTAGGAGGAAGCAGGCCAGTGGTTCTTACTGGGCACACAGACGCTTCTTGGGCAGACGACTCTGAGAAGCTCAGGTCGTAGCAGGGCTATTGTTTTAGCCTTGGTTCAGGTGCTATCTCTTGGAGATCCACTCGCTCGTCGTCTGTTGCTCAGTCCAGCTGTGAGGCTGAGATCTACGCTGGTGCCATGGCGGCACAAGAGCTCCGCTGGCTGACCTTCTTGCTCACAGACTTAGGTGAGCGGCCTAGCTCTGCCCCGGTCTTGTACGCTGACAACAGGGCCATGATACTCCTGTGTTAGGAGCCTCGGCTTGAGAGCAGAGCGAAGCATATCCAGCTGCGGTACTTCCTCCTGCGCGAGTTACAGCAGCGCCGCCAGGCCCGCGTAGTTCACTTGGCCTCAGGTGCCAACACAGCTGATATCTTTACTAAGGCGCTTGCGCCTAAAGATCATCAGCGGCACTGTGTACAGCTTGATTTTGTTCCTGTAGCTACTTACCTGTTAGGATCCTGATTGTGTACTCTCTATTGTATATACCCGTCAGACTGGCCTATCAAACTGAGAGAAATGAATGAACTGGCCTATCACATGTTTGACATGGCCTTGTGCCCTTGCCTCCAGTGGCTGGACTAGTAGTGCCGCCCTGACTTGCTTTAGTCTTGTTTGTACTCTTGCTGACTGGTCTGCGGTAACAAACCTAGAATTGAATAATGTGAGAGAGAGAGTACACAAACATATACCTAAATGTTGTACTCTCTAGAAGGTGACCCTATACAGTCTATACAAACATGATAACTACACATGTTTGACACACCCCCTGGACTGCATAGGGGAATGTTCTAGACAAGTAGCTCAGGGTGGCACTACTAGTCCAGTCACTGTGAGAGGACACAAGTCCAGTCTGAGTGTATACATATATATATATACGACAGTACAAAGTCAAGGCCCGAGTAAGTGAGAGACTACAGGAACCAGACCAAGCTGTAAACAGTGCCGCTGATGATCTTTAGGCGCAAGCGCCTTCGTAAAGATATCAGCTGTGTTGGCACCGGAGGCCAAGTGTACTACGCGAGCCTGGCGCCGCTGCTGTAGCTCGCGCAGGAGGAAGTACCGCAGCTGGATGTGCTTCGCTCTGCCCTTGAGTCGAGGCTCCTGACACAGGAGAATCATGGCCCTATTGTCAGCGTACAGGACCGGGGCAGAGCTAGGCCGCTCACCTAAGTCAGTGAGCAAGAAGGTCAGCCAGCGGAGCTCCTGTGCCGCCATGGCACCAGCGTAGATCTCAGCCTCACAGCTGGACTGGGCAACAGACGAGGAGCGGGTAGCTCTCCACGAGACAGCACCTGAGCCAAGGCTAAAGCAGTAGCCCTGGGAAGACCTGAGCGTCTCGGCGTCGTCTGCCCAAGAAGCGTCTGTGTGTCCAGTAAGGACCACTGGCCTGCGTCCGCCTAGCACTAACCCCATGCCCGATGTACTTGCAAGATAACGCAAAACCCTCTTAGCGGCAGACCAGTGCTGAGGTCTGTGTCTGCCTGTGGCCACAAAACGAGCCAGGATGCTGAGAGGGTATGCGAGATCTGGGCGAGTGCAAGTCATCAGGTACATGAGGCAACCCACTAGCTCAGCGTAAGGACCACTGGGATCTACCGACTCCTCAGGAACTGGAGCGGAGAGTCTGTGGTCCAGAGGAAGAGGGGTGGGCTATGCGGAGGAGAACTGAAGGCCGAACCTCTGAAGGACCTGGCGCACCAAGTGTGACTGAGTCAGGGTGATGGTGCGGGCGGCTCTGTCCCTGGAGATCTGCAAGCCAAGGTAACGGCGCAGCTCTCCAAGGTCAGTGCAGGTGTGTCTCTTCAGCAGCTCTGCCTTCACGGAGGCCAGTGCGTCCCTGTCAGCTGTGGCAAAGACCAGGTCGTCTACGTAGACGAGGATGTAGAACGGAGTCGAGCCAGCACGAACGAAGAGCGAGGGGTCTGCAGAGGACGGAAAGAACTGCAGGTCAGCAAGAGTAGCACGCAGCGTGTCGTGCCACTCACGAGGCGCCTGGCGCAGGCCGTAGACTGGGCGCCGCAGAAGCCACTGGGTCCCAGGGGGGAAGGTGCCAGTAAAGCCCTGAGGGCGACGCAGGTAGACCTGCTCGTGAAGGCTGCCCTGAAGAAAGGCAGTGGAGAAGTCGAGGGAGTGAAGCTCGTAGTCACGCTGAGCCGCTACGTGTAGCAGAACCCGAAGAGTAGTCATCTTCGGGGTAGGAGCGAAAGTCTGAAAGAAGTCCACCCCCTCGCGCTGACTGAAGCCTCTAGCCACGTAACGCGCCTTGAACACAGGCGGCTCTCCAGGAGGGCGCTTCACCTTGAAGAGCCAACGGCCATCGACCACGTTCACCCCAGGTGGGGGAACTGCGTCGACGAAGGTGCCGGTGGATCTCCAAGATGCCATCTCCTGCTCCATGGCAGCTATCCACTGAGAGGCCCAAGGTCCCGAAACCGCCTCAGCGTAAGTACGAGGGGTCGGGATGTCAAAAGCGTCTGGGTCACCCTCAGGGACTAGCAGCATGGAACAGAGATGGGGAGCAGCCTCGGACAGGAAAGCAAGCTCAAACTGGCGGTCCTCCAGGACGTCACTGCCGAGGGCAGGAGCACCCCCGACAGACGGAGGACAGGCAGGGTCAGAGACCAGAGCGGAGGCGTAGTCAAGGCGGCGGGTAGAGGCGAAGTCAGCGACCGCAGCGACAAGGGCGTCAAGACTCGACACTGGAACAGACGGGTCGGTAACGAGAGAGGCAAGGACCCGAGGAACAAGAGGACGAGCGGCACGAAAGTAGTCAGACAGAGGAGGAGACGCAACGACAAGAGAGGACGGAGGAGGAGACGGGAGGAGGGGAGGACGAGACGCGTGGGAACGGAGCAACATAGGGTGAGTGCGCGGGACGGGGGAGACAGGACGAGCACGGGAGGGGCGGCGAGACCAGACGTGAGAGGGCGGCGTCGGGTCGGGAGACAGAGGAGGGGACACGGGTGGGGAACGAGGGGGAAAACGAGCCGGGGACGAGTCCGGCGGAGGGAACACGGGGCCGTAGACGGGAAGAGGGGGAGACGGCCGGAGAGGAACAGGCGCAGGGTCAGGGGACGGAAGGCCGAGCAGACGGAGGGCGGACACCGGCGGGGACTGCTGCTGCGGCGACACAACACCAACGCCAGGGCCACAAGCTGCGCGACGGCTACCTCCCGAACCCTCCACACCGGCACCCCCAGAAGGGACACCCCCAGAGCCCGAAACACCGCCAGCACCGGTACCACCCCCAGGCCCGCGGGGACAAGCCACGACGGGAGCCCCGGGACGAGTACCCACCTCAACTCCAGCACCCCCAGAGTCCACAAACAGCGGCAGCGACGACGGCGGCGGCGGCGGCGGCGGCTGCAGCGACGGCCTCGACGGCGGCGGCGGCGGAGACGACGGCTGCAGCAGCTGCGGCGACGGCGGCTGCGGAGGCGGTGGAGGAGGAGACACCGGGGGAGGGACAGACGGCGAGGACTGCGCCAAAGGACTACCAGAGTCAGAAGACTCGTCGACCGGAACGACCGACGGGAGGGGGGTGACGTGAGACACACCAGAGGGGGCCGGACGGGGGGGCGGGGGGGGGGGGTCGAAACCTACTCGTGATACCATAACAAACATAGAATTGAATAATGTGAGAGAGAGAGTACACAAACATGTACCTAAATGTTGTACTCTCTAGAAGGTGACCCTATACAGTCTATACAAACATGATAACTACACATGTTTGACATCCAGACCCCTGTCTCAGTGGTTGGACTAGTAGTGCCACCCTCAGTTGTTTGCTTCTTGCTCAGCCTCACCCCGTATCTAGCCTAGGGGGTGTGTCAACTTATACATATTAGCTATATAGAAGTTATAGGCTAGACTGGGGTATGCTTCTAGTGAGTACAACCAACTAGTATTTGTTCTAGGTTTCTCTTTCTAGTTCATTATTCAGTTCTTAGTTTGACATTAACAAGTTGTAATACCAGAGTCAGTGTTACAGCTTTGCGAGGATCTTTGCTGGAATGGTACAAAAAATAATGTTGACAGCACAAGGGCTTTTTTCTTTAAAGCCCGAGTCTACATTGGTTGGCTATCAAGCTCAGGATTCCTGAACTTGCTTTCGTAAATGTTGGGGTAACCTACTGAAGGGGACCAGCACGTCGCAACCCCTGGGGAAATGGGGCAGCGTGCGAAGTTCGCTACATGAGACAAACCTTGAACGTACTGTTCACTCATACTGAAGTTGAAAACGCCTGGTACCATTCTGGACGCATTTTTTGCCAGGACTCACTGCGCGGGAAATGCTTTGTACAGTTTGCCCCCCCACCCCCAAAGTCGTCACTGTTTACGCTCTGTTGATTACAAGTTGCTCAGTTCCTTTTGTGTCGGGAGCGACCCTGTTTTTTTGCTGAGAAGTATTTTTCGCCAGGGGAGCTTTGCCGAAATTGTTTTCGTCCAGTGTTTTTGGCACTGTTTCCATGATCAGTACACATGGTTTTTTAGCATTCTAGACTCGGGCTTTAAACGTCAGCTCTGCGTATGACGCCGGTAATGACGCTCTGTGTCAGCACTGCCTGCACTTATGGTATCACATCTTGTTCGAAGGAAAAAAATCAAGCAGCAGTTATGGGAATTATGAACAAGAGGAATCCACAGCATATCCCAAGGCAGACTTCAGATTTCACGGGGTAGAGGGGGGAGGGGGAGTAGGGGGTGGTACGCGCAGAAGGGAAGTAGATGCAAGGAATACCAACGGAGATGGGTAAGGTGAAGACGTTCAGTCAGGTTTTGGTCACATTTGACCACAGAGCCTCTTCCGCTATCCTTCAACCTCACCCCCACACCCCTACGAAGCAACTAGCCACGAAGTAACTGGAAGACAGAAGGCATCATCCTTTCGAACTCGGCGCGCCGCGCACTACAGCCAGAGTTCCGAAATTCAGTAACTGGAACCAAGTCTCTCAGCCAGTTACCGCCTAACTCGTCGGCGGGAAACGCTAACAAGGCATCGCCAACCAGCTCTCAGAACCGCGTCACCTTGTCTGCCTTAACGACGGGATTCGCCTGAGCAATAGCCTCCCGACCGGCAGTCTTGTAGTCGAACGTGCAGGTGTGCCGGTCGGAGTAACGGTGCACGGCGCAGAACAGCCCTTCGCAGCGGCACTTAAAGCCCGTCAGCCCCACGCGGCGACGACACTCGCCGCAGCGATTCGCCGCACGAGCGGAACCGGCGGAGCCTGCCGTTACCGCCGCAGGCGCAGCAGGCGCCGGCAGGTGGTTCTCCGCGCCCTCTTTCTTGCAAGATGCTGCCGCCGCTGCAGCTGACGAGCTTGCGGCCAACTTGCCAGCGGAACCAGACGGAACGGCGACGGAAACAGCAGGGGAGGAAGAGCCGGCGACGAACGGTCTGGATGTCGGCTCGCGACTCTCCGGAAGCTGCCGATCTAAGGGCTGAGCGGGCGAAGGGGAGACGACGCGAGACGAGATGCGAGACGCGGATGGAGCACAGCCGGTGGAGAGGATCTGCGAGATGGGCTGAGCGGTGTGCGATTGGGCAGGCGAGGAGGAAGAGAGGGGTGTCGACGAGGAAGCGGTAGGAGGCGAGAAGGAGCGAGGTGAGGGGGAACGAGGAGAAGAGCGAGGGGAGGAGGAGAGAGGAGACGATGCTGATGATGTTGATGATGCGGATGCCGTGGCTGCGGACTGCATGGTCTTGGCGACGTGCTCGGTGTAGCACTTGGAGCACATGTTGAGAGTCGAGGCGCTGCCGAAGAACCCGCAGTTGTTTGCGCACATGGTCGTGCGGTCCGACTGCTGGCACCCCGCCGAGCCCTGGTCCCAACCGTTCTGAGCCATTGGAATCGTGACGTTGACGAGAAAAGTCGAACTAAGTACGTTTCGGGTGAACGGAGCTAAGGATGTCGAGGTCGAGGAACAGTGGAATTAGAACAAGAGTGATGGGTTTTCGAAAGGGAAGTCACGCTCAGGAGTTTGATAGGAAAAAATACGACTGTGTTGGTACTAGCGTTAAGGAATAATAGAAGTCTTAGACTGCTGTTTGACGGAGAAGAGCCGTAGGGTTATTATCTATCACCTGGTGCGTAGAGAAGACAAGAAGCGCTGTGAGTCTGTGGCACGCAACGATGGGCACGGAGAGTAGGAGATGGGGAGGGAGGAGGGGGGTAGACACGAGAATCAGGCGAGGTTGCCACTCCTGCTAGTCACACGGTTGCACAAATCACAATTGTCGTGCTGTCACATGGAAGGGATGGCAGATCTTATGCACGCACCTGTCAATTCAACCCCCCCCAACCACCCACCCGCCTCACCTCCCAGCCCAGTCCACCCACCACGTATCCACCACCACCCCATTGGCACAGTGCCCTGCTCTCGAACCTTTCAACACCCCCATTCACCACACATAACTTAATTGAAACCTTCTTAGACCGACTTCACCTCGAACCACCGAACCGGCCCTACCAACCTCAGAAGGACGACCTGTACCTGATGTGGGGGAGGCCATTTTATCTCACTCTGCTCCTCCGTCCGACCTCCTCCGTCCGGCCTCCGTCCATCGCCCGCTGAACAGTGCCACTTCCTCGCAATGGCGGAATAGCTGCCACGCGAGTCCAGGGCAGGTGAGTTGTCGTCCTTCCGCCCACCCGCGTTTCTTGTGACTGTTCCCCCCAACCCAGCTCAGCTTGGCAGCAGCCAATCCGTCAACAACCCTCCCGCTCATCGCACAGCCAGCCACAGCCATCAATCACACCACACCCCCATTTCGCTCCTGCCGCCAGCCCATCCATCCATCCCCGCACATGTCAGGACAGGTGGGCCTCGCTAAACCCTTAGCGCGTATTTTTGGTCTGGTTTCCCCGACTCAGCCCTGCACCTCCCTCGATTTATGAACAACCCCCACGGGCTGGTGACCCAGCCAATCGCAGGCGGTTGCCCCCCCCCAGCGACTTATACAACAGCCCACTCCTAGTAGTGTTTTGGTTGGAATTGGACCAATGCGGGCATGTATGGGACTTCGGACGCGCCAGCACAGCACTGCGGTCAGATGAATTCCTCCAGCACACCTGCTGTTTCTTCTCGTGATTCTACGCAGTTGTCAAATCTATGGGACAGCTGTTTTATGGGGCTTAGGGGTTCGTTACGCGTTTTGTGAACAGCTTTGTTTTACCAGCTAGAACAATGCTTTCATACTAGTGATAAGACAATAGAAGTAAGGTACAAGTCTATAGTACCTTATGAGCTAGTAGGTAACACATAATGCGTATATAATTCAGTTTTACTTGTATAATATTGGGCAAAACGTACTTACTCTAATGATGTGTGGCCTAATATTAGAGCCACTAGGTAGCACATTATGGATGTATGCATGCTAAGTTTTTACCTAAAGGGAATTCTATTGGACACCAGAACCGACCCACCTCAGGGATTGCTCACTGACACCTTATAACTGGTTTTTCTTTCAATTCTGTCTTCCTCCACAACTAGAAGGCAGCAAGTTTACATGTCAAGGTACACCTGGGGAAATGGACGGTCAGAAACCCAACGCACGCACTTCAGTTGCTAACAAACGAGTCCTCTTCACCCCTCATGACATGGGGAAAATCTCTACTCATGCCCCCAAGATCGCTCAGGCACTCACCACGAGGGATGGACATCACACGAGTCCTAACACGAGCATACAAATCAGGTGACATAATGACATGTAGTCAGTCTGGTACTTTCCTGTCAGTTTGACGGGCCTGGCAACGTAGCATGTCTATTCTGTCCTCGTTTGCGACCTAAGCTTATCCCGCCTACTGCTCAGTTAGCGAAACCTCAGCCCAACGAAGAGCAGCAGTGTTACCACCTCTTGTCGCTCATGTTCTCGTCGTGGGCGTGCCATCTGAGAGCCCACTTCACCGCCAACACGCGCCACGTCATCGTCAACGCACACCACGTCACCGTCAACGCACGCCACGTCACCGCCGACGCGCGCCACTTCACAGTCAACACGTGCAACCAGCCAGCGGTAACGTCATGGGCCCAAGCACTTGAATCGCAGTCGCCGCACCGCCAACAGTTCCTACCTCCCCCCCTCAGACACCCGTCCGTGCCTCCAGCACGAATACAGACCTTATGCTCTGCTAATTCAAGACCAGCTTCAGACCACCTTCCGCGTTCCTCCCTTTCCTCCTTTTCCTCCTTTTCCTCCTTTTCCTCCTTATCCGCGCTAATTCAAGCCCTAAACCGACCTCAACCGATCACCCCCGCTCCTCAATTCAAGAGTCCGCCCTCTTGCATTCCCCCCGTTTCCCCTTCCGCTTCCGTCTTCGTCCTCTCCGCCTCCCCGTTCCCCCTTCGACCCCGCGCGGCCCCCCTTCTCCACTGCTCTTTTCCACAAGTGTTGCCGAACAAACTTCCAGTTGCCAGCTGCCACATCAGCAGCAGTATGGGAGACCCCGGCCTTGCTGGAGAGACGGATGGGATGGGCGGGGGGAGAATGGGGGGAAGCGGGGGAAGCGGGGGAAGTGGGGGAAGTGGGAATGGCAGCGTGTGCAACGTTGGGAGTTGTGGTGATGGCGGTGAGAGGGAGGCATGTAGACGACTAGCGGATCTACAGGGTGTGGTGGGGGATAGTGTGGTGATTCGTGAGGCCGTAACGCGGCTGGTGCACTACACACCGCCGATAATCTCCCCAACATCACCCTTCGCTCCCCCTCGCTCCTCCCCACTTTCCTTTCCCCTCTCCGCCTCATCCCTACTACCCTCCTCCGCCTCCCCCTCCTCGGCCTCTCTCATCCACACACGTGCGTTTTCCTCGTCGTCCTCTTCCCCTGGCTCGTCAACAACTAAAGTCTCAGCCACCACTGTTGACGGCAGCAGCAGCGTCCGCAGCAACAACCACCACTGCAGCACCAGCACCAGCAACAACAACGGCAGCAGCAGCAGTGCAGCCAATTCAGATTCCCCAGCTAACCCAACTAACCCACCTACCCATCCCACGGACCCTACTGCGCCTCTTACCCCTCTCACAGCGCCCGCCCCTTCCTCCTCCACTGCCCCTCCCTCCGTTCCCTCCCTCCACCGCCCCCCCCTCGACGCCTTCGCCCGGAAGCAGCAGCAGGCAGCAGAGGCAAGGCAGGCCGCGCTCCAAGCAGCAGCAGAGGAAGAAGCAGCAGCCGCAGCAGGGGGGAACGGGGGCAGTGCACTGGACGACACCCCCATGTCATCCGTTGCTGTCCCTGCGTTTCAAACTGACCCCATGTCTCCCAACAAGCAGTCGGTGCTGGGTGTGGCGCTGGCGGCGGCAGGAGAGGCGATGGGCCCCATGAGGAGGCGGAAGGCGGCTGTGCTGGTGGCGCTGTTTGAAGGGGAAGGAGGGGAGCTGCGCGTGTGGCTCACTAAGCGGGCTGCCAAGCTCTCCTCCCACTCTGGTGGGTGCTGTGAGTTGCAGTGGTTTGCCATGCAGGGATGTTGGAATATGGTTTGGGCAGACTTGTGTATGCAGAGTTTGCCTTGCCGTTTTATCTTCACCCTAGCACGCCTGCCTCTGCTTCCTTGGTTCACCTTTCTCTCCGATGTGACCCTATGTATGCTTGCATATGCCGCTGACAAATGTTGGCATGCCCTCATGTATGCCTGCATGTAACCCATGTAACCCATGTGTGCATGCTCGCCTCCCCACATGTCCATGTGGTTGGTGTGTGGGAGCAGGCGAGGTGGCACTACCGGGGGGCAAGCGCGACGACGGCGATGCGGACGACAGCGACACGGCACTCAGGGAGGCGGAGGAGGAGATCGGGCTGCACCGCTCCCACGTGCGCGTCGTCACGCACCTCGAACCCTTCCTCTCGAAGGTGGGTGCAACCCCCCCGTCGCTCTTCATCTCACCATTCCTTGTAGCCTGCCATTCCTTCTCCCCAACCCTGCCATACCTTCTCCTAAACCCTGCTGTCCTTTTCCCTAACCCTGCCATTCTTTCCCTCCCCACCGACCCCCTGCCATCCCGTTCCCCTCTCGCCTCTCACCAGCATCTGCTGACGGTGACTCCAGTGGTGGCTTTGCTGCCGCGCTCCTTCGCCTTTGTGCCGCGCCCCAACGCCGATGAGGTGCAAGCCGTCTTCAGTGTGCCGCTCTCACTCTTCCTTCAGGTGCACGGGTGGACACGAGGATGGAGAGGAGTGGGGGAGGAGGGGGTATGTGGTTTGGGGGTGGGTGGCTTGACAAGTTTCAGGGTTCTATTGTTACCAGATTTGGCTTTTCCCCCTTGCCAACTTCCCCCAAACCGACCAAGTTCTCTCCCTTTCGCTAATTTCTCTGAAGCAATCCCCCGTTCCCCCATCTGCTCTCCTCTCCCCAACTTCCCTCCCCTTCCCCTTCCTCCCCTCCCCCCCCCCCCTTCCCCCCCATGCCCCGCTCTCCCTCGTTGCGTGCAGCCGGACCATCACCGGCACGAGGACCACGAGTGGCTTGGCTTACCCTACCGCGTGCACTTCTTCGAGTACACCACCACCCCGCCCCGTCCTCCTCCCCATCTCTCCCCCACTCCGCACCCACCCCTCGCTTCCTCCTCCCCCTCGCACCCTCTTGTGAGTCCCCCCCAGCCGTCGATGTCAGCCTCTCCAGCTGTACTTCCTGGTCAATCATCAAGCACAGCACGGATAGAGCTGGGGGGGGGGGGCAATTGGGGGGACCGGGAGAGGGGGAGCAGTTTACGATATGGGGCCTCACAGCTGCTATTCTCGTGCGTGTGTCGTGTGTTGTGTTCGGCCGGTCTGCTCCATTTGGGGAGTTCCACCCAGATGCTCCTAACTACGCCACTGTGCTTGCCGACCTGGCCAAGAGGCAGTTCCTACAGCTGTAGGCAGTGTTAGAGTACAAGAATGACTAGAAACAAGGGAGAACAAGGGAGATATAGGGTTGGAGTTGTACCCTCTAAGAACATACACCTATCTAGCCTACAACTTCTACATACAAACATATGCATAAGTTGACACACCCCCTAGGCTAGATAAGGGGTAGTGGTGAACAAGAAACACGCAACTCAAGGTGGCACTACTATGTCAAGAAGAAAATTGAACAAGTATTGAATAGAGAGAGAGAACAAGGGTATATACCTAAAAGTGTTGTACCCTCTAAGGGGTGACCCTATACAGTCTATACAAATATGAGTTATACATATGTTTGACACACCCCCTGGACTGCATAGGGGCAAATCCTGAACGAGCAGCTCAGGGCGGCACTACTAGTCCAGCCACTAGGAGAGTACACACGTCCAGTCTGAGTACATATATAGATATATAAAGGACAGTACAAAGTCAAGGTCCTAGCAAGTGAGAGGCTACAGGAACTAGACCGAGCTGTACACAGTGCCGCTGATGATCTTTAGGCGCAAGCGCCTTAGTAAAGATATCAGCTGTGTTGGCACCAGAGGCCAAGTGAACTACGCGGGCCTGGCGACACTGCTGTAGCTCGCGCAGGAGGAAGTACCGCAGCTGGATGTGCTTCGCTGTGCCCTCAAGTCGAGGCTCCTGAGACAGGAGTATCATGGCCCTATTGTCAGCGTACAGGACCGGGGCAGAGCTAGGCCGCTCACCTAAGTCTGTGAGCAAGAAGGTCAGCCAGCGGAGCTCTTGTGCCGCCATGGCACCAGCGTAGATCTCAGCCTCACAGCTCGACTGAGCAACAGACGACGAGCGAGTGGATCTCCAAGAGATAGCACCCGAACCAAGGCTAAAACAGTAGCCCTGCGACGACCAGAGCGTCTCAGAGTCGTTTGCCCAAGAAGCGTCTGTGTGCCCAGTGATGACCACTGGCCTGCGTCCTCCTAACACTAACCCCATGCCCGATGTACTTGCTAGATATCGCAAAACCCTCTTAGCGGCCGACCAGTGCTGTGGTCGGTGTCTGCCAGTGGCCACAAAGCGAGCCAGGATGCTGAGAGGGTATGCGAGATCTGGGCGAGTGCAGGTCATCAGGTACATGAGGCAACCCACCAGCTCTGCGTAGGGGCCGCTGGGCTCTACTGGCTCTTCAGGAACAGGAGCGGAAAGCCCGTGGTCTACAGGTAGAGGTGTGGGCTGTGCAGAGGAGAACTGAAGACCGAACCTCTGAAGGACCTGACGCACCAAGTGTGACTGAGTCAGAGTGATGGTGCGTGCTGCTCTGTCCCTAGAGATCTGCAAGCCAAGGTAACGACGCAGCTCTCCAAGGTCAGTGCAGGTGTGTCTCTTCAGCAGCTCGGCCTTCACAGAGGCCAGTGCGTCCCTGTCAGCAGTAGCAAAGACCAGATCGTCTACGTAGACAAGGATGTAGAACGGAGTCTGGCTGGAACGCACAAACAGCGAGGGGTCAGCGGACGACGGAAAGAACTGCAGGTCTGCTAACGTGGCCCGCAGCGTGTCGTGCCACTCGCGGGGAGCCTGACGCAGGCCGTAGACCGGGCGCCTGAGAAGCCACTGGGTCCCAGGAGGGAAGGTACCAGTGAAGCCCTGTGGTCGGCGCAGGTAGACCTGCTCGTGTAGGCTGCCCTGAAGAAATGCAGTAGAGAAGTCGAGGGAGTGAAGCTCATAGTCACGCTGTGCTGCTACGTGTAGCAGCGCCCGAAGAGTGGTCATCTTCGGGGTCGGGGCGAAGGTCTGGAAGAAGTCCACCCCCTCGCGCTGACTGAAGCCTCTGGCCACGTAACGCGCCTTGAAGACAGGCGGCTCTCCAGGGGGGCGCTTCACCTTGAAGAGCCACCGACCATCGACTACGTTCACCCCAGGTGAGGGAACTGCGTCGACGTAGGTACTGGTGGACCTCCAAGATGCCATCTCCTGCTCCATGGCAACTATCCACTGAGAGGCCCAAGGTCCCGAGATGGCCTCAGCGTAGGTGCGAGGGGTCGGGATGTCGAAGGCGTCGGGGTCACCCTCAGGGACTAACAGCATGGAGCATAGATGGGGAGCAGCCTCGGAAAGGAAAGCAAGCTCGTACTGCCTGTCCTCTAGGACGTCATTGCCAAGGGCAGGAGCACCCCCGACGGACGGAGGACGGGCAGGGTCAGAGACCAGAGCGGTAGCGTAGTCAAGGCGGCGGCTGGAGGCGAAGTCAGCGATAGCAGCGACAAGCGCGTCAAGGCGCGAGACAGGAACAGAAGGGTTGGTAACAAGGGAGGCAAGAACCCGAGGGACAAGAGGACGAGTGGCACGGAGGTAGTCCGAGAACGGAGGAGGCGCAACAGCAAGCGATGAGGGAGGAGGGGAGGGAAGGAGGGGAGGACGAGACAAGCGGGAACGGAGCAACATAGGGTGAGAGCGCAGGACAGGAGAGGCGGGACGGGCACGTGAGGGACGGCGAGACCAAACGTGGGACGGAGGGGTAGGGTCAGGAGACAGCGGAGGGGACATTACAGGAGAACAAGGAGGAAGACGGGCCGGAGACGAGTCCGGCGACGGGAACACAGGGCCGTAGACCGGAAGGTCAGCAGGCGGCGGGGGAGACACTGGCGAGTGGTCCAGGGAGGGAAGGCCGAGCAGGCGGAGAGCAGAGACCGGTGGCGACGGCTGCTACGGCTGCTGCGACGGCTGGGCCGGAAACCTCGGACCGGCAGAGGCAGGACGACTGTCGGCGGAAACCTCAACAGCAGCACCCCCAGAACCAACGCCCCCAGAGCGAGAACCCTCTCCAACACCAGCGGCACCCCCAGAGGCCAAGAGTGGCGGCGACGACTGCGGCGGTGGCGGCAGCGGCGGCGGCGGCGGTGGCGGCTGCGGCAGAGGCGGCGACTGCGACAGGGGAGGCGAGGACACCCGGGAAGGGGGACGCAGCAAGGACGGGCCGGGGGTACCACCAGAGTCAGCGGACACCTCAACAGGGACAACCGACGGGAGGGGAGTGACGTGAGAGACACCAGACGGGGCAGGACGAGGCGGGAGGGGAGCAGGGGCTACCGGGAGACCTCGGTGAGGGAAGCGGCGGTAGAAGGAGACAGACTCGTCAAAGGTGACGTCACGAGAGTGAAGGAAGCGGTGAGACGACGGGTGGTAGAAAAGCCAGTCAGACGAGTCTAGGGGGAAACCGAGGAAGACACAGGGGACAGTGCGGGCAGTGAGCTTGTCCGTACCAGAGGCACAAACGTGAGCAAGGCAGCCCCAGACGTGGAACGCAGACGCATCACCAGGGGACCCGGTCCAAAGGAGGGTCGGCGAAACCTGCGGCTGCTGGGTGCGGGGCCACAGGTTAAGCTGGTGAGCAGCGTAGCGAACAGCGAACGGCCACAGAAAATGGGGAGCATCGGCATGAATCATGGAGGTACGGGCGACCTCCATGACCAAGCCAATGCGACGCTCAGCAACCCCATTCTGCTGTGGCGAGTCCAGCAAGGTGTACGACTGGGTGATGCCCTCCGCACGACAGAACTGTCCAAGCCGACCAGAGGCGAACTCGCCGCCACGGACAGAGTGGAGACACAACACGGGGAGATCGCGGTGAAGACGCGCAGCCACAACCCACGGGAGAAGAACGTCGGGCACGTCGGCCTTCCGCTCCAGGGGAAACACCGTGGTGTAGCGCGTGTGGTCGTCGACGAGCCCAAGGAAGTAGCGCTCACCGCGCAGTCCGGGGACGGGGCAGGGCCCCAAACGTCCAGGTGCAGGGTCTAAAGGGGGGCAGTAGCCGGGCGCAGCGAGGAGGAGTGAGGAGCACGGGGGAGCCGGCCCTCGATGCAAGGCGTGCACGGTGGCGCAGTCGAGGGAGGAAGGGCGGGGAGCGACGCATGGATACCTAAGACAAGGCCGTGCTGGGACATGTGACGCAGACGTGGGAGACCAAGGTGACCTAAGCGGTGGTGCCAGAGAAGGGACGGGTGAGTGAGGGAACGACCCGAGCAAGCTGCAGCAGCCTGGGAGGACGCACCAACGGGAGGGGAAGCAGTGTCGAGGGTGAACAGACCGGAATCGGGTCCCGGGGAAACGTCGCAAGGGGGGATCCTGAGGCAGCCTCAGAACAGACAGCGAACCGCTCGTACCCGGGGAACGTGGTGGTGACGCCGAGGTCCTGGAGACAGCCGACACCAACCAGGTTCCTCGAGAATGAGGGAACGTGGAGGCCTGTAAGGGAGCCCAAGGGAACTGCTGGACAGGGAAGGGACGTAGAATTGCGAGCGACGACAGGACCCGCCGAGGGGTCAGCAAGAGAGACGACAGCAGGCGTAGCAAGCGGCGTGAGCGCGGAACGGTCGCGGAAGAAGCAGGCAGAAGCACCGGAGTCGAGAGTGAAGGAAAGCGCAGTAGTGGCGGGGGCCGGGAACGGAGCCGGTGCAGAGACAAGGCTAGACAAACTAGGCAGTCCTACGCCTGACGCAGCAGGGGAGGCTAGGCTACACAATGGTGCAACACCTAAACTAGAGAACACACGGTAATAAGATCCAGCAACACTAGCAGCGTCAGAATACAAGGCATGCAAAGCAGCACCTATCTAATCCATGTTTAACTCAAAGATCGGCACGCCCTGGCGGAGCAGGCTGTGCCAGTCAGGGAGGTCCGGGGCCGGGCCAAAGCGACGACGAAACAGATCGTCGAGGCGGCGGAAACAGCGGGCAGTCGGGTGCGGGCGGCGGCACAGAGTGCCGCGAAGGGGCCTGGTCTGAAGCTGGTACTGACAGGTCACAACACCGGAGCCGCTGGTAGACGCCAAGCTTCGCGGGCCGCCACCACTGCCACCACCTCCGGAGGTGCCGGGCCAACCAGGCGGGAGGCGAGCCCACTGCTGCGGGGGCTGCGGCTGGGACAGCGGCTGCTGCTGGGACGGCGGCTGCGGCGCGGGCTGCTCCTGCTGCGGCTGGGGCTGCTGCTCCTGACCACCAATGCTAGTCCCCCTAGGAAGACTACTGTCACGACCACCACCACCACTACCTGCGCCACCACCCCTACCACCCTGGCGACCACGGCCACAGCAGCGCGAGCGCTGCTGCGGGTCGACTGCAGCAGCCGTCCCAGTGAGAGGGGTCG